TGACTGGAGCAAAGGATTATCACAAGAAACAAAGGGGAAAAGCCAGGCCTACCCTCTAGGGGTAGTGACCCATATTACCTGCCAAATGGGTTTTGCAAGTAGTTTGGGTCACACAGCTCCACTGGGAGCAGAAAGTTGCAAACCTCAACCCTGGCCCAAAGCTGGCAGGATTAGCAACTCCCAGGTTTCAACCCTGTTTAAAACTACCAGGCCTAATTCCTAGCCAGCCAACCCAAGGAATCAGTACCCTCCTCCCTGGTATTACTCCCTTAAAACCTGAGAAAAGGGGAAAGAAAAGGAGGAAAGAGGAGTTCTCAGCACTAGGACAAATCTCCATCTCTCTCTCCTCTACCTGAGTTTCCCCTTTTACTATCTGCAAACTCCTTCTCCCTTGAACGAGACTTCATTCTTCAGCAGCCCCTGGCAGCTTCTCTCTCCCCATACCAGCCTGGCTCACTTTATATCCTCCGTGTGACATCACCCTGGTCTTGTGCAGTCAGGGAGTGCCACGCTGATGCCCTGACGTACACACACAGACAAACAGATGCAGATGCACACACAGATGCACAGATGCATGCATACAGACACACACATGTACACAGATGAGCATTCATACAGAGATGCACACACAAGCACTCGTACGCAGATGCAGACATGTGCACGCACAGACAGATGCACACTCAACACCCAGCCACATCCCTTCCCCTCCCTCTCCCGCAGCTGCCTGCAGCCCCTGTTGCACCACCCAGGAGGAAGCTGCTGCCGGCTGTGTCCCTGCAGCCGCACACATGCACGGGCCAGGCTGGCTCAGGCCAGGAGCCCCGCACCCCCTCTTGTGTGGGTGGCCATTCTGGGAGGGGCAGCTCCGGAGGCTAAGGTGAATGTTGGGGGCCGCTACCTGCCTTGCTGCACAGCATAGCGCAGCTCCTGCCTCCCTGCCCTCCCCCGCCCTGGCGTGGCGCTGCACTGCACTCCTGGCTGGCCCAGCCCCAACCTGCCCCCCCAGCCCCATTGCGGGAGGGGCCCCTCCTGGCTGCAGAGAAGCAACTGCAAAAGCCATGTTTTTTAACTTGGCACCGTTTTTGTCTCCCTGCTGGGGAGACAAACGTGCCAAGTTTAAAACCGTGCATGCACAGCTGCCCAAAAGCGTTAGGGACAGACAGACAGACACACGATGTTCATGGTTAACTTAGCAACGTTTTACCAATGTAGAACAGCTAGTGTAAGCAGTGACTGTAGACACATCTTGCTCAAATGGGCTGGTAATTTCCCATTTGTGCCATGAGAGCGCCTCACCCAGGTGCTACTGGAAAGTCTGTCAGGTCTGACTTACTCAGGCCTCTTCAAGTCTGGTGACAAAATGGAAAGCCCTATATTAGCATAGTTATAGTCTGATTTGTCATGTGAAAAGATATCTGATAATCACTCTTCATCAACTCTTCCTCTCCTTTCCTAATCAGGATACATGACTCACTTTATATGTAAACAAGGCCATTCGGTAACAACCCATTCATCAAGAAAATCCTGCAATCCCACTGCAGTCTTCAAACTGATAAAAATCTCTTACAACAGGGAACAGTTTCCCCAAAGAAGTAACAAAAGGTCTGTTGACTGTATCACTCACAGCCCAAGTGAACAGACCACTAAAAATATACTGTAGGGAATAACACTGAACTGGGCTGGAGCTGGACTGGATGGGACCTATTCCCCCCGCCCCATCTCTAACTTCTGAATATGTGATAACAGCTCTAGGCTTTATCCAACGTCCTGGCTACACAGCCCTTATGAAACTGTCTTTCATTTTTTCAGACATGAAGCAACCTTACAGATCGCTTATTTTCACTGGAATAGATTCAGAAGAAGTCACCTCACGCTGTATACGAAATGAGGTTCAGGAGATGGAGTGCCATGAATGTGCACTTTGGTTTGTTTCCATTGTTTCAACCTCTCTGTAATTAACTTCTTAAGGCAGGTTGGGGATGGGCATGCAGGCAAATTTGCTTGAACTACTGTATATCAAAAATCAATCAGCAGCTGCTTAACGCCAGAATTACTGGGTTAGACCCCCCCCCGAGAGTCAATGCTTATTGTTGTTGATAGAATTATTGTCTTCTAAATTGAATTAATTGGGTGGTTAGATGAATCACAGCAATGAACATCGCAATTAGTAGATAATGTGTCAGTCACATCATACAGATTGTAGGTAGCAGATTGTAAATTAATGCATAGTGACTTAAAAATCTACTGAACAGTCATGGAATATCTAATAGCAATAACTGAAGCTAGAGTGCCTTACAATGAAGCCTTAAAAATGGGGGAACTTTCAAAGTAGATCAGATTAGAAAAAGATGACGGCCTTTAATTTCCATCATACCAAGAATCTTGAAGTTCTTCAGCCTGAAGCACATGCAAGACATTTCTTTCTCCCAGCCCCAGTGTGGCTTCACTGTAGGACTTTGTTCCTAAAAAAGCCCTGAATCTTCTGCACCTGGCTGAGTTTCCACTCCCCTCCCCTGGTGTCTCCTGGGAAGAGGGAATCAGTGACGACTCCTCACCACCTTCACCTCATTTCGTGTTACTTTCAGCACGATCAGACCAGGGCCCTGGACAGAGCGCGTTCTCCGTGGTCTGTGCCACCTGGGAAGATCTGGCATCCTCTCTCCTCATGTTCCCCATCCCTGGCATGGTTGATGGCTCTAACCCTCCCTCCCATTTTGGTGTATTTGCATTAGATTAAACTCCCCTCTCCTAGGGTGGGCAGCTCTCACATTCACACTATGCTTTCTCAGACATAATTGCATGTGCGTGTGTGCACATCTACCTCCTAGGCTACTGGAATATCTATCAGGTCTGACCTAGGCCCTTTCAAGCCTTGTGGCAAAATGGAAAGCACTATATTAGCATAGGTACAGTCTGATTTTTCATGTGAAAAGATATCTGATCATCACTCTTCATCAACTCTTCCTCTCCTTTTCTAATCAGGATGCATGACTTGCTTTACATGTAAACAAGATCACTCAATACCAGCCCATTCTTCACTGACCGCCCCCCCCCGGTGACACCAGGTATGGAAATTTGGCCAAATGCAGGGTTTTGGGGGGATTTAAGTACTTCTATGTGGTGAAGCTGTACTCGGGCTGGGAGGCAGAAATGTCTTGCACATGCTTCAGGCTGAAAAGCTTCAAGACACCTTGAATGCAGCGTCTAGTTTGGGTCTCCACACCTCAGAAAGGATATAGAAGCAGAGATGCCAAGTACATGGGGGCCCGAGCCACCCTCAGGAAGAGGGCTGTCACCAGAAATGCAAAAAAACTTTCCATGTTTCCATCATCTCAGCCCCCACCCCGGCAAAAATACAAGTCAGCACCTACGTATAGAAGAAGTAGAGAAGGTCCAGAGAAGGGCAACAAGGATGCTGAGTGGTATGGAGGGGCCTCCGTAAGAGGAGAAGCTAAAAAGGCCAGGCTGATTCAGCTGAGAAAAGAGATGCTTGAGTGGGGACACGATAAGGGTTTATGGGACCTCCCAAGCATATATGGACAGCATTTGAGAGAAGCAGGATGCATTGGTGATGCATAAGGGGTGCACGTGGGTGCACATGCACCCCCTGAGCTTGGCAGTGCACCCCCTGCAAAAAGTGCCAGCAGCACCTGCAAGCGGTCACCACTCGCCACCCCTCCCTTGCCGCCGCCACTACCAGTGCTGTCTGCAGGCAGTCACCAACTTGTCACCCCCCTACCCTGCCGACACCACCGTGGCTGCCTGTGGGAGCTCGCCGCCGCCAGGCCGCTGCTGCCACCACCGCTGCCACCGCCTGTGGGTGGTCGCCGTGCCCCACCCCAGCCTCCGGGGGGCATGCAGCGTTCATGAGGACGTGGGCTGCCCTGGCTCCCATGTTAGGTCTGTTGTCTCCTGTCACGTAGCTTAGATGGTGGTTGTGTGGGATCAGCTTTGCCAGGTCTTAAATATAGGCAGTTACAGCTCTTTGGGTAGATGTGATCTCTTTTATTAGATCAGCCGAGTGGCTGGAAAAAAGTTCTTGGCAAGCTTTCGGGCACAATCCCCCTTTGTCAGACATAAAGAGTCTCTGCTGGCCCGAGACTCCAAGGCAGGTCTGAAACACAGCATTATCGTGTTGGAAGCTCAAATGATCATATTTTCTGAAAAACGATTGTATGCTGAAAAAAGAAAGAAAAAAAAAAAAAACATGCAAATAAGTCTTCCTCCTATTTACTTCCTATTGCTCGCCTATTCCTCTCTATTGCTCGCCTATTCCTATTCTTCTTCCTATTTACTTCCTATTGCTCGCCTATTCCTCTCTATTGCTCGCCTATTCCTATTCCTCTCTATTGCTCACCTATTCCTATTCTTCTTCCTATTTACTTTGTATTGCTCACCTATTCCTCTCTATTGTTCGCCTATTCCTATTCTTCCTATAACTTTCTATTGTTCGCCTATTCCTATTCTTCCTATAACTTTCTATTGTTCGCCTATTCCTATTCTTCCTATTACTTTCTAGTCTAAAACCAGCCGGCGAGGAAGCCTTTCTTTCTCCGCCAACAACCCCGGCGGCTCCGAGTCCCAGCTCTGCACATGCCGTGTCCATCCACCGCCCCGAAGAGCATGCAATCAGGACTCGTCGTAGAGATGCTGTCTTTTACCAGATTTTTGCAAGTCCTGGTTGCCTTTTCCTTCCGCGTGACCCATATGGCTACAACCTGGCTGCCAAAAAGGATGCTAGCATTTTGAAAAAAAAAAAAAATCACATTTACCCAAAGAACCTTGTCTGCCGACTATGTGGGGCACTTTCAGGCTGAGCTGTCAGACATCTCCCAGGGTGGAAAGGATCCTGCCAAAACCACCCGACCGCAGCTGCGCGGGGAGGATTCGTACGGGGCGCGGGCCCTTTAAGGCCCTCCCTACACACGCTCCGGTGTGTGCGTCATGACGCAGACTGGACGTCGGGTATATAAAGGCGTGCGGGGGCGTTTACGCCATCAGTCCGACTTCCGGGCTGAGCGGGGGCGGGGCGGGGCGGGCGTGCGCAGGTGAGCGGCGGTGCCGGGCCGGGGGGTTGCCGCGCGTGGGAGGACAGCCGCGGGGCGCACCCCCGGGGGGAGCAGCATGGTCTCGTCTTATGTCGCCTGAAGATATTGCACCGGCGAAGTGCATGTGTTTCATACGCTACGAAATACAGCGGTGAAACGCGCCAGGCCTGGGCATGCCGAGCGAGGCAGGCAGCCCCGAGTACAGGGGCGCTGAGGGGCGACCAAGTCGGGCGTCGGGGCCCTTGTGGGTGAAGCGGCAGCGCTGCCAGGCCTTCCTCGGTCCCGGGTTGGCGCCTATCGAGCTGGGTGCTGGCGAAGCAAAGTGGACCGTTAAAGCCGCCTAAAAGTTTCTTTCGTCTCCGAAGGGTGCCTCGGCTGCCTCCCCGCTCGCGCTGCTTATATATCTTCTACCTAAGGAGCGGGTGGAAGGAGGAAGAGGAGCAAGCGCCTTATTTTGGGGGCGGGTCCCACACAGCTGAGTGTGTGAGCACACTTCATGCGACGGGCGTCCACGCGCACCGATTCATTCGTCCGGTGCAAGCGGAGAGAGCGATCGCTTTTCAAGCCTGTACCTGCTCTGGAAAGGCCACGAGCGTTTAACTTGGCCGCTCTTTTGCAGACAGCGCGGCTCTTCTTCTGTTTGCATCCAGACACGTCTGTCTGCTTCCAGGCTTATAGTATTATAG